GAAAACAAAACAACGCAAGGGATAAAAAGGTTAAGAAAGAAAAAGTATCCTCAACCCTTTTAATTCTCTAGCCACCCACGATACCTTCCTAAGTAGAAGTCCTCTATTCCAGTCTTACCCGTAGGGGATATTAAAGAAGACAGCATCCTTCCCCATCCTTATACCGGCCGATCCCAGCCTGAAAATAGCCCTTCCGTTCAAAACTGAATAATATCCCCCTCCGCCAACCCAGCCACATTGCAATCCGCAAACGCTTCAGAGCGGAACTCCGTCTGCGGCGTCAAAAAGTCATGTATGTCCTCATCCTTCTCGATCTTATCCTTGGTGATGAGGTAGTCAAAGTCCACGAGCTCGACAGGGACGAGATCCTGGCCCTCCTTCGCCAGCCATGTGACCTTCTTATCCGTCTTCTTAACGTCGCCGGCTAAATGCAACTCCAACTCGAGGCCGTTGATCTTGCCCGTGGCCGGATCGCTGTTGATCTTTCGTACGATTGCATTGCCCCAGTTCATCAGGGTGATCTCCTCGTCTGGTTGGAAGGTGGCGGCGTCCACCTGGTCGAGGAGGATTTTGCTACTGTAGATTACTTTCTTAGAGCCCAGCTCTGGATTCTTGCCGTGTTTTGGTTTATCAGCGCTTTGCACACCATCAATCCCGCCGACGGTAGCCGGGACCACGTCCTGCTTGTCAACAGCGGTATGACGCGGGGCCACAGGATCGATATACTTGCGGTTAGTCGCCCAGAAAAGCGTCCAGTCAAGATTTACGATGTTTCGGCTGGGGCCTTGTTTGAGGATAAATTCACGCAGGGCAGGTACAGTCATACCGCGTCGTCTGATACCCCGGATCGTAGGCATGCGTGGATCGTCCCACCCCCATACGACGCCCTCGTCGACCAACTTCGTGAGCTTTCTCTTCGACAACACTGCACGAATGAAGTTTACACGCGAGAAGTCCCAGATATGGACTTTGCGAATGCCAAGAGCCTCCTGCATCCAGGCATATTGTGCGTTCCGATCACCGTACTCAGTGGTTCGCAATGCGTGGGTCACACCCTCCAAGGAGTCCAGGATAGGAACACAAAAATCATAGGTCGGATAGATTTTCCATGTGCTACCAGTCCGATGGTGTGGCTCCAGGTTGCAGCGGTAGATGACCGGATCTCTAAGTGCTTTGTTCAAGTCGTCAACCGAGATCTTTGCACGGATACACCAACGCTGGCCTTCAACTGAGCCGGTTTTCATTTCAGCAAACCGTGCCAAGTTGTCCTCCACGCTTTTCGTTACGGCGCTTGCTCTCAACACCTCTGAACCGCTCATTCTGGCATCACTTCCTTCTCAGTGTCGTCGGCATAGGCTTTACCATCACTGATAATTTTGACACAGTATTCGTACATTTCCTGGAAATAATCACTAGAGAAAGAGGTTTTGTCCGGATAAATACCCAACAGGGATAAATCATGCTTGATCGCATCCTCGAACTCCTGATTCTCCTTGGAGGGATTGGTATCATCGAATCGACAAATCATGGTGCCTTTGTATTGTTCATGGGCGAAGTAATCGTTCAAAAGCGCTGCTTTCGCATGTCCGATATGCAGATACCCCGATGGCTCCGGTGGGAACCGGGTCACTACACCGTTTTCCACATTCTGGAGACCGATGTTGTAGCTTCCACCAGCGGCACTTGCCGCGGCCTTTCTCTTCTGAGAACTAGCACTCAACTCAGCCACAGCAATGTTCACCCAGGGATAGGCTGCTTCGATGAATGCGAACCAGCGGTTGGTGGTTGTCGCAGCTTTTCTGATGCTTGATATGGCGATTCTATTTCCACGAAGGGTTCCCCAGACGGCAATATCTGCCAAGGTAAGAGAATAGCCAACGATGTGCGATCGCAGGGTAAGGTGGGAATCGAGCTCCTTCATTGGCTTGTCCAATGCTTTGAAGTCCAATGGCCTCAAAGCAACTGATCTCTTCACCCATTCATCGACCTACAATTTTGTTTTTAGAAAAAAAACGAGTAATTGTAGTTAGCAAGAGTCGGGTAACCAGTAGCGCCTGTATTTGGACAAACCTGCTCCTTGTCCCCAGCTTGCAGAGGCGCATATATATTCTCCAGATGTTTTAAGATATCGTCATCGTAAATTGTCTTCCCATCGTCCGTCTTAAGCTCCAGCTTTGCACCTTGGGATCCAATTGACTCCACATCCTCGAACACGACGGTGATGTCAGTGCCCGGGAGGGTCTGCTTGACATGATTGACAGCAAGAAGGGTTGGTAAGAGGAAGGCATTGTTGGCCTTTGTTGCAACGGCGAGTTGAGACATCTTCTCCGTCAGGGCGTCAGTTGTTATCTTCGAGGTAGGATGAGGGGTAGAGACAACCGACTGTCCTTGGGCAGCGTGTTGCAGAGCGGAGAAGAGGGATGTGACCTACTTTCCTGGTAAATGTATTCCTCGTATCTGAAAAATAAAAGAATGTCCACCAGGAATATGTATGCTAATGCCACAAATATGGCTGGGTTGGTGATCTCTCTGGATAAATATGGTGACTCAGTCAGTATGTGGGGTATACAACGAGACTCTTCGGGCTGTTTCTTTTTAACTAGCGGGGCATCAGCCAACTGCAACTTTGCAATCCATCAAGCACTCAGTATGGTATCCGTTAGTTACTATAGCTGGGCAGCACCCATTTTGAAAACCTTTGTAACTGACTGCTTCTGATTCATAATATTAATCTCCCTCCTAGAAGTGAGCAGACTTGAGAATACTATTATTTACCAGTACATATAGATAGCCCTACTATGTTTGTCAATGCTCACCTTTTTATCTGTGGTAATGTAGCCAGCAACAACAATTGTAACGTCAACATAGACGTAGATTTACCATCGTATAAGGAGCCAAATATCCTTCAGCGTGCTCTGTTTGCATTTTTCCCTTCAGGCAATAAATTGTATCCGCGTCTGGTCTGTGGTTTTTCCGGCACCGAAGACCGCGCATTACTTAGTCCGTAACTAAGCCAAGCACGCGCATATTGACAAATAACTAGTTAGCGGAGATACAACCCTACACGCGACGCCCGCCCGCAACCCTCTCCTGCAATTTTGTTTCGCTTCGTTTGCACTTTTCCAGGTTCAATTGGCTATGGACGGCCAATCGCAGTGTGTTTTCCTTTGACTTCTGCTCTCCTCCTGCTCCTACGTTTCCTACTGCGCAGATGTGGGTATCTCCGTTTTCGGCGTGAGATCTAAGCTAGTTAACTATAACATCAACTCGATAAGAATCAGAACCCCAATACAGAGCCCTTCTTTCCCGCCACGGCTGGCTCTTCACCTCCATATTTTTCACCTATACCTTTTTCGCCGCCGTTTGTATCATATACGCTCATAATGTCACAATCAAGTCACCTGAAATCCGAACGACGCGTTCTGGTTGAGAAATCAACCAACGCGTCTCTAGCCCCCTCCAATTCTCAGTCCGTGAGCAAGTCGAGCAAGTCCTCGATGTCTCCGCCAGTGTTGGCCGGCCAGAAAAGATCAATTGATCAGGTGGACTCTTCTCAGAACAGATCGAGCTCAACAAAAAGTTCCTTTAGCCAGGTCCGACGGGAGGATGAGTTTTATATCTATGAAGAGAATAACAAACAGTCTAGTACAGGTGCAGATAAACAGGTATGTGTTATTGTGTGCTGAAGAGAAACAAACAAAAGAATATCATCACATGGCATATGTGGGAGAAAGAGAAGAAGCAGGACTATAAACTAACAGATCCTCACAGATCATCTCATCTTCCTTCATTCAAACCGCACATGCTTTTGATCTAGACATGCCACCCAAGAACACATCCTCACAACAGAGTGACACCATGTCATCTCTACTCAATCTCAGCTTCGAGTCTGAGAGCAAGAAGTCCTCACTCAATTCCCCATCTTCCCCTTCGAGCAGCCCTACACAAGAGATTCCTGCAAACGAAACAACAGCAGCCCCCGCCTCGATTGTGCCAACGGACCCTGCTGAGAGAAAGGCATTCATCCAACAGGTTAGCAAACATCGAAAGAAATCACAATTGCCCGCTATCATAGCATCTGCTGGATAGTTCCACTAATACCGCACAGAAAGCAAATCTCTTTCGCAGCCGCGTCCAAACAGCCATGAAAAAGATCAAAGCGCCCCAGAATGACATTGACCGTCGCCTGGTAGCGCTCGAGGAACAGGCCAACAGCCGTGATCGTCCTTACCCCCCTAAACCGCTGTGGCCCCTCTCACGCCCCGCGAGCAAACACATGGACGATGCGGATGAGGACTTAACTCCAAAAGCCAAGATGCCAAAGCTCCTCCCTCCACCGGACCTGCAACCGATGGCGTACTCGACCCGCTACGCGTCCACTAATAATACTATGCCATCTTCCCCCCCCGCCTCAGCCACAGGTGAAAATTATGCTGGGAAAATTGAGTTAGAGATGCAGATGCAGATGGAAATGAATGGCCATGGACATGAGCACGTAGAAAATGAGTTGACGCCAACCAAAGATAAAGCGGAAAACGCTGTCATCACAATCAATAAGATCAGCGGTACCGACGCTGGTAACGGCAACGGGAATGAAAACGGGAAAGCGGACAACTACCCTACAGAAACCCTCACCTCACCCATGCAGCCATGCAGCCCACCACACACAGGAGACTCACCTATTGTCATCGAGAGAAACGCGAAAATGTGCTCCGTGGACCAAATGATTGCCAAAGCGAAGAAGGGAGAGGCGCTTGATGGGCTTCTGAAGCTGATGAAGACTACTACTGAGTATGATAACTTGGATGAGTGGACTGGGTGATAATATATGGCCTCCAATTCAGTAATCCCCTAATCCCAATGTGCAATTTCATCTTTCGAGAAGGGGAGGTGGTGTCATATTTTGTTTTCCCCCTCTTTTGAGTAATGATGGATGTGGACTTGGATTTGTTCTGCTTTGTTTAATTCCCTTGGTTTGTTTTTGGACTGTGGAAAAACGTTTTTTTGTTTCTGGGACGCGAATTTGTTGGCTGTGGTAGAATACCCAGATGGAGAAGCATTTATCTTGTTTTTTCAAGATATCTAGAAGAAGAGAAACGACTTTGATATACCTTTTCGACCCTCATCCGCAAGCGTTTGTTTCATAACATTACTCGAAGGTTGGCCCCTGAAAACAGCAGCCCCTGAAACGGTCAAATGAGAAGAAAACTTCGTCTCATGAAAATATAATCTCTAAATACGGGATGTACTAGAAATTATACCAAAATGGTATCACTTCAATTTACCCATAGAGACTATTCGATGCCATTCATTCAGTCATTCTCGATTCCCTAAGAATGAGGTTGTTTTGCTTCTGCTAATGAAACAAACACATCAACACCGCCTTTGATATAGCCTCGTTCCCCTCGACAACTGCACATCTTCTTGCCCTGTCCATTGGATTTGTTCCATTTCGTTCATCGGCTTCAGGCGTAGTGAATATGGTGTACTGGCCTGGGAATCGAGTTTCTACGGCTGGTAAAGTTCAATTGTTCGCACAAAAATGGGTGGCCGTTGGGTGACGGAACATTCCAGCTCTAACTATATACGAATTTATGCTAAGCATATATATATACCAGCTTTCAGTATATTTATTCGTTTCCTTTTCCTCTTCTTTTCAACGATCAGAATCCCACTTTGAAGCCGTCTTTTTTTCTTCGACTACTAGCCTGGACCGCTGCTCCGGCGAGACTTCTGTTTCACCTGCCCACCCACTGAGAAACGCCAAACTGCCTATTGTTATGGACCGCCCGGTTATCTAAATATCTATTTCTAAAGCCCAGTACATCAAGGATACGTATATCATCTCCAGGACTTCTATAAGTTCAAAGACGCGGTGAACGGGGAATTCTGCATACCAAATATAGCCCCCTTCTTTCGAAGCCCCGACCTGAGCTGGTAATTAAAATCATATGACATTGAATACGATATAATTATCCTTGCTCCCGCTCCCCCCTTCTTCCGCTCAAGCAATCTCTCACTAGTCTCCTGCGAGGACCAAAACTTCGCATCCCCCACTCTAACACGCGAGATGAAACTCCCCAACCCATCTACCATACATACCCCTTGTGGTTAGCTTTGCACTTCTCCGACACGATCAGGGACTGTTTTTCCGACAAACATAAACCTCATGTACCGCGTAAATCGCTTCCAGACAACACTTCCACTAGTAGGCCTAGGCAGGTAAACAAACCCCTAAGCGCTGCCTTGAAGCCATGTTTGTCTCTTATCTTCCTGAGGGTTATCGGCCGCTTGAGTTCGAATTAGCAGACTGTGGCTATCTCATAGGCGAAGCTGCAGCCATCCCAGCCTTTGGGTCTATTGTTGAATTCGCCAGGCATTACCAAGGCCATCCTCATTCAGTCGAAGATCGTCAGGTTTCTAAGTCCGCGCTGGCATAATCTCGCAGTCATGGGTGGTTCTGGACGGTGGAGCAGTCTGACTGATCCGGAACTTTTTCATACTAGGTTTAAGCAACGTTTTCTAAACTTATAATCTTCCTTCTGTCGGTCATATCGGAACCATATAAATGTCTTTCATAGGTAAAGTGGGAAGAGATAAAGGGTGAAGCCTGGAGACATGATAATGGGTGTAGATCCTTGTAGGGAGGTACAGCACATTTTCTAGAAACGCGCGCCTGTCGCTTATTTGACTTATCGGGCCGCGCCGAACTTAAATCCGAGTCTTCATTGGCTAAACCCAAGAGGTTAATTTCGCCCCGAACCTCATGACGAAGGTATGGGGAAAGTTTTAATGAAGGAAACATTACTTTTGTTCTTTCAGTGGATAACTGTATGGCCTATTGTATCTTAAGTATGTTTTTGCATGTGTAAATAGTCAGAATATAATGAATAAAAAAATGAAACCTGAGTCTAAGAAACCGAGGGAAGAAAATTACAGCTGTAAACAAAGGCAGGAACAAAGAGGCATGTACAGGGTATAAAACAATGGCTATTAATGAAACAAGAGTAAAAATTAGGCCGTGGCCTCTCACACGCACAGCTCCAGCATGGGGGTGGATTATAATGAACTGCCAGTCCATAAACATCTTTGGTTTTTTACGTTTATCTTCACTACCGCTCCATGTAGCTATATTGTACCTGTATTCTAATCCATACCTGTTCATATTTTGCTAGTATTTGTAATCTAGGCCCCGAAAATGATTAATTCCTGAGTTGTACAGGAGAAGCAGCCGGGTGTTTCCACACGACAACTAAGGCCCGCCAAAGACGAAACAGAAGCAAAAAAAGAGCTGGAGATTTCCTAAACTCTAAACTCAAGTTATTCTCAAAAACCTCCTCAATTAATTTCTTCCCATTGTCAAACCAAAGGAACAAAAGAGACAAAATAATCACCAAAACATTAACCCAAGCGTATGAGCTTGTACCAATTATACGTGGCACCAAACGGTTTCAGCTGCACGAGAAAAAATGAAAAGAGGAAAGAATCCCATCAAGACCATTCTATATAGAAATTTATTCAAGACGGTAGAGGACATGTGGTTGAGAATTGGGCACAGAGAGAAGGCGACAGACGGAACACCCCAGGTGGGTATGTGCACAGAAGCAGAGGCAGGTTCCCTGGGGAGATTGGAAAGCATCAGGTCGAAGCAAAGTGAGTGCCAGAAGCGATTTGCTTGAACTTGTTTTTCCTTTGGAATTTGTTTCTAGCCGTCCTTATCCTCAAGTACGAAATAAAATCTGAGAAATTTATCTGTCATGCACCGTCAGCAGAAGGATGTAAGATATTGTTTTGTGGCGACTATGATGGGAAGGGTAGGGGGACGGACTTTTGGCGTGACCAACTGGGTTGGGAAGGGGAAAAACCACCGTGAGATTCCTTTTCTTGCTTACATGCAATCAAAACACTCACAAACAACCACTCCAATGCTCATTTCCTCCAAAGATTACCCATCCATTCTGAGTAGAGAATATCTAATGATACGTTCTTTCTGTTCTTCGAGGACATCAGTCGCTCCATCTATAACCGGTACAAGGCCGTCGGAAACCCGGAACGAAAAGAAGATAATTCTCGCATTCGATTTTCATGGGATTTGGAAACGGGGCAGTGGATGGACAAATCGACGTGGTTGAAGATGAAGCGGCACTCAGGCCCTTGCCAGGTTACAGGGGATGAGAAGGCCAAAGGGGACGATGGAGTTACGAACGGTCATACGATGACAGATGTGAAAAGGAGAGAGAGAAACGGCAGCCAGGTGCAGTTAACGAAAAAAGACAGGAGCGCTGTGGGAACAGACTCGGATTATGTTAAACAGAGTCATAAAGTTATCGCTTTCGATCTCGAAGAAGGTACCGTTGACCAAAGTTCAGACGAGGAGCCAAGGGGAGAGAATGTTGATGCTCCATTAGCTAGCTCGGACATCCAGCGACAGAGAAACGGCGTGGATTTAGGAGCGAAGTCTGTCCCGAAACAGGAACGAATAGTTGCTCCAACAAGGTCACCTACACGGAGGAAAAGCTCACCCGAAGCCTCGACAATGTTACCCTCAGAGCTAGTTTCGAGAATTGATCCGACACTAAAACCTAAAGCAATAGCAGCTACCACACCGGAAAATCGGAATAAGGAATCACAGGAGCCAATATTTGCCGAAGTACTGGCACCAGGAGCCAGCATTTCTCTTAAATCAACCCCAAAAGCAATAGAATCGGCCCCAGACAGTAATAGTGGGACATCCCTAGGAGTTATTCATGATATTATTAACACAGGACAGAATGAGAGAGAGTCAGTAAAGGCACTAAGTAATCGAGTAGCCAGGCGGGACCACCCCATAGCACTGACGCTGGAGACGGATATTGCTCCCGAACGATGGGTAAAAGTTCCAAGGTTACTGGAAGAAAAGGATGAAAATCTAAATGATCCAGCGGAAACCGCTCTGGCTGCAACGGGTGGTAAGAGGACAACTCAGGGGGAATGTCCAGCGACTAGGCCAAAAGGGAAATGGGAACGGCGGCCAGCCAAGGGTAAGAGTAGAAAGGTCATAGTTCAAACTACGCCTGTCGGTATGATAGCTGAAAACGTTCATGGCGATCAGATGGCAGCTCCTGGAGCGTTAGGGATTGAGGCACAGATGAAAACTCATGAGGTGGTTTCGGATGAAGGATCTGAAGCAAAGGCCCCAATGGGCCGGAAAAGAAAGCTGGAAGAGGCATCAATTGCGACTCACGGAGAAACTCCAGTAGAAACCGAAGGCAGGCCAAAAAGGACCCGTCGGTGCCCAAAGTGGTACGAAAGTTATGAGACTTGGACTCTCTCCTTCCTGGTAGACCAAAAACGCCAACGGGAAGTCTGAGAAACGGAACGGTAAAAATGGCGAATGAGATAGACATGGAAGAAGGGGAAATTATTAGCATGCTAACGGACTTTCTTTAATTTTCTCACCCGACGGCCAAGAACATCTCTACCCTCTTCCACCTCGCCTACTGCCTCCCGCTTTGCCTCTCCCACCTCTTTGAGAATTCCACCACGTACAACCCGACCTTCAATGCTGACACCTTCCTCTTTCCACTCTACCATTTTCCTCCCGACACGATCTTCGATGGCCAAAACTAGTTGCACATCACGTTGACCAACCAGAGTAACTGCTTCACCTTCACGTCCAGCTCTAGCTGTTCGGCCAACACGATGGACATAATCATCAGGGTTGCGGGGCACATCGAAGTTTATTACCAAGCTTACGCTGGGGATATCCAGACCACGAGCGGCGACATCAGTGGCAACTAATATACGAGCTGCTGAAGCCCGGAAACGTGATAGGTTGGCTGTACGTTCGGATTGTGGGAGAAGACTATGCAGCGACGTGACTCTATGACCAAGACGCCGCAGCATACGTTCAACGAGATCTGCGGTCTTGGTTCGATTGCAAAAGATAATAGCGGGTTTTTGAGAATTAGCTTCCGTCGATATCAGAGTGTGGAGAAATGCTTCGCGATGGGTAAGGGGCACTTGGAGATAAGTCTGCTTGAGGGTTGGTGGGATGCTAGCTTTGTTTTCTGTGGATACTTCTGTGACGAAGATAGGAAGCTTGTTCGCGGGGCGAGGCATGGATTTGAGGGCTCGAACCTCGGGGGTGACCGTGGCTGTGAAGAGGAGTGTTTGGCGAGCTGTCGAAGGGGGAAGCGCAGAGAGGCAAGTTTCCACATCCGGGAGCATGCTTCCCGGCCCAGATGCAAGAAGCCGGTCAGCTTCATCAAAAACAACAACGCGTGTGCGGTTGAGGCCACAGATCGTGTCTGCCCCGGAGCTGGTAATATGATCCGCTAGACGACCAGGCGTAGCAATCACGATGTGAGGACGTTGGGAGAGAGCAATAGCCTGGGGGCGCATCTCAGTTCCGCCGGTAATAAGAATAGGCTTGAGAGATTGAGGTGCTGATATAGCCTTAATTTGTTCAAATATCTGTAAAGCAAGTTCCCTATATTGATGAAACTACAATTAGAAAAGAGCATAATATAGATAACCAAGTCCCAACAGATTATCAAAACTCTAGAAAACCAATATCTCACTCTGAGCGTACCTCGTCGGCGTCAATAT